CTAATAGCCATTCCTCAGCCCGTGATTTCTTGACAACTGTATTAACAAAAGCATTTAACCTGTACCCACAGGAGTGTTCAAAACAGAGCCAGACTGCTTACTGGATTTGAATTCCCAGATTAGGGAATTGCTCCCTGGCAGCCTGGCTTGGGACAAAGCAGTTATATGTGTTGGAGCCATAAGAGTGCATACTAGCGATTTCTGCACAGAGAACAAAAATGGGCCTAGATCTCCTGCTAGTGAGGGTGGTCAGGCAGATGCTCTGACATCTCAGACACTGTGGAAGTATGGGTTGCCTAGAAGGGAGATGAGGTGAGTACCTGCTCCCAGGAAGCATTATCAGCAAACATTAGCCTCGTTCCCCATTAGACAGACAAAATGTAAGCCCAGTGTGCGCTCCTTACATAATCACTGCATAAATGAGCAACCAGTGTAATCACTTTGACTGAAATGACTAATTACTTAACATATATCTTTGGCTAAATTCCATCCAAAGAATCTAGAGAAGTGATGACTTAGCTTTTCAGGTTACCAATTTTAAAATGTTTTTAATATTTCAACCCGTGATTTTAGCATTGTTTTAGATACTGCTGCAGAATTTTCTTTAATAGCAGTTCTCTTCCAAAAAGCTCCCATATAATGCCAAGAACATTTATTCTCCATAATTCACAGTTGGTTTTATGCCAAAGCTTATTATAGGATTTCATTTTGATACTTGATCTTGAATGTGTAATATAGACCAACAAATCCTTCTTCTTCTCTGACAAGTGCCGAACCTCCAACGCAGCATTACCCAAGAGACCAGTTTGCAAAGATTTGCTTCTCAGGTCATCTCAGTTTCCCAGAATGGAGGCTTCCTGTGGACAGGGCAGACCACGGGTGTTCCAGACTTCTGAAGCTCGGTCAGCTCTGTGCTGGTTAAATAGATAATAATCACTAATGTATTTCCTGTATAACTGTATGTACTGACCAGAAGGTTATAGTAATAAATAAATGTGTTTTTTTGTGGGGTGAAACAACTTGAATGAAGTTTCCACTTAACAAAATATACACTTAGCACATAAACAAGGTGTCCGGAGGTTTAAACAGAGATTCAAGAAGCTGAGAGACGTGTAGCATGCTTTCTGTTTTCAGAATCCCCCCACTACAGTATAGTATGAAGATTTTCTTCGGGGTTTTACTCTGTGGTCTCCAGTTACCCTTTGAGGCCCATCACTAATGGGAAAATTGGGCACTTTTGCTTTCCAAAAGAGCCCTGACACCTCAGAGAGATGAGATTCCCTGGCTTTCAGTTCCCATTTGATAGCAGCCCTGTGCGCCTCAAGTCTAGCAGGACATTTATTGCTCTTGACAGCAAGGAGAGGTCTGTGTGTGGGCATGGCTGATGAGAGGGGCTCTGCAGAAGACCGAGGTGGGGTGGGACAGCAGCCTGGGCTGCTTGGGGGAGGGCTGCTCCGGGAACTGAGGTGCCGCCCACGGAGCTATGGGTAACCCACCGGAACCCCACTGACCTGTGCTGAGAGAGCCGTTGACCTCCCAGTGCATTCTTTAGTTTCTCAAGCCCACTGCTTGCCCAAGCACGCTTTAAAGGGAGCGAGGGAGACTGAGAATTTTCTAGAATAGCTTGGTGCATACGGAAAAGCAGCGATATCACACGACAGTTAATCGGAGCTCACAGTCTGAGGTCTTGCAATGGTTTATTTCTGAATTAAAACTTTAAAGTGGAAATGTACTTTCCATGTTTGCTTTAATCAGTTTTGTGTACAGTGCTCAGAATTGTGCTTATTTATGCCCTGTAGATGTTATGAGGATTAGTGAATGGTTTTAAAACGCGGACAGATCAAAGTTATTTCAACCTGGATTGAATGAAAGGCTCTTAAAATTACAGGCAGATATAACTGCATATATTAAACACAAAGGAATTTTTTTCTTCCTTTTTTCTCTTCTAAAACTTAAAAAAGCCTAAGCCACAGGGTTGTTTTTAACCCTAGATGGTGCAAGTCTAGTTATTGATTTCAAAGACAATGATCACTGGAGACTTAGTAATTCCTTGACAATGCCCAGTCCTCAGGGGGAGTGTCTGTGTTTCAACAAGCACCTAAGGTTTTGAGATGGTACCAGAAAATCATGTGACAGGTGAACAGGAAACTGAGCTATGTGAATTGGTATAAATCTTCCCAAAAAATTGAGATTGAAAGAAACCCAGGTCAGTCAGAAGTTGAAGACTCAGGTGAGTCACCCTAACTTGATCACATCAGAGCTAGAAGAAATCCATGTGACATTATAAAATACATATTCCAAAAAGTCAATCAAAGTAACCATAGCCTGAGAAGAAGTTCTTCACACTTAAGTACTGATGGAGCTTTTAGAAGGGAGTCCTTTGGAGAGAAATGGTTTATTGATTCTCAGTCAGTGAACAATGGGACATTGAGTTAGCGGGTATTGTGAAACGCCTTCTATATGAGAATTAAGTTTTCAAGGCAGGGATGCCTCTGGCATAACACGTGAACTTTCTAAAGTCAAAAATGTTTGCATAGAATAGACATGGATATTTCCCAAAATCAAAATATGAGATTGGGAAGACAAATATTAACTCTAGAAAAGAGAAAATAAAAGAAAAGAAATCACTTATCTGAAATCCTTCGGGCCCAGAAGTGTTTTGTAACTTAGGATGTTAAGATCTTGAAATGTCAATGAAGTAAACATACCATATCCTGCATAAGACACCGGCAGGGGCTGGGCAGCTCCAGTAGCGAGGCAAACTGACGCAGTTGTAGTGAAATGTGTGGATTTCATAATGACTGTGATGGTGCAGACCAAAAATAGCCTCACATCAGTTTAGGGTGCTTTTGTTGCCAAAGGGAGTCAGGTCTGGTCAGGCTTTGATACCAAATGAGTTACAAAATGTCTGTCATTTATCGAATCTCTTTGGACTTCAAATTGGTGGAAAAGAGATTGAGGATCTATACTATTTCACGCAATAGTGAAAATTGTCTCTCTCTTTCCTCTCCTGTTCTCTCTTTCTTTCTCCCTTCCTTCCTCTTTCTCTCTCTGTCTCTCTCTCCTTCACTTTAAAGCTGAAGATATACACTGCCCCCCAAATAAAATTGATAAAAAGTTGGATTAAGGAATGGAGGAGCTACAGAAAGTTATTGAGATCAGTATAGAAATATTTGCAAATATGTGCCTTATGACAAAGTATACTTCATGTTTTTAAATGAAAACAATGAGCTCAGTGGATGGAAAAACTGCCCTGAGTCATAGCATGGTGGTGATTCTTGTGTAGTTGCACAAATATGGACAATCGGGATAAGAAAGGGAAACAGAGTAATGTCATAATGCGGATGTCTACCAATAAAAGATATGTTAAAAAGAAACACTTCAGACAAATTAAATTTAATGAAGTTTATTTGAACCAAGAATAATTCATCAAGTAGGTACCACTCAGAACCAGAAGACATGCAGAGAGTTCTGGCCAGTGGTGTAAAAAGGGGGTGTTTATAGACCCAATGAAAGGGCAAGTACAGCTGGTACCCTACTGATGACTGTGAGGTCTGGTGCAGTGAACTGGCTGCCTGTGACTGGCTGCAACCTGGCTGGTTGTTATACTCCTAAGAGCAGCCTCACTTTACCCATTTGGGAAGTGGGAAAATTATGGGATTGTTGGGAGGCACAGCTAAAAATCTGTAAAAGATTTATCATAGTGCTTGCTACATGGTTGGTGGAAACAAGCAAGGATAAAACAAAAGAATGAAGGAGAGAAGGGAGGAAGAGAAAAATTGGAATTGTTCCACTAATGATAAATGTACCAATATATCAGTCAAGCTTGGTCCACAGCTTGGTGCCCTTGGCAGGTGGCGGAACCATGAAGTGGCAGTCTTTAGGTTCCTGGGGCGTGCCCTTGGGGGGAAACAATGGGCTCTGACCCTTTTCCTTTCTCTCTGTTACTTCTTGGCTATGATATGAGTGGTTTTGCTCTGTCACTCACTGTCTGCCACAGTAAACTGCCTCATCACAGACCCAAAAGCAATGAAACCAAATGGTCATGGACTAACCCTTCCACAGTCATGAGCCAAAAGAAGCCTTTTCTACTTGTAAGTTGATTATTTCAGGTATTTTGTTATAGTAGAAATAAAAGCTAACACATAATTCTTGTGAGAAAAACATATCAGAATTGTCTTTTGAATAGGAGTCTTGCTTTAATAATACCTTAACACAAGGTCTTTTTTGTTAAAATAGCTAACTTTCTCTGTCTGGCCACTGCCTTGAGCTTTTCACTTCATTTTGTGTGATAGTGAGTTTTAAATCAGCCAACCGCCAAGTTCCAAGAATTCTTTCACATCTAGGTTCAGAAAACTATTTTCTTCTGTTGTCTTCTGAATTAATCTTATTTCTTGGTTGTCACAGCTTATAACTCTCATCCCTCCATATGGCAAATTTTGAACTTTTTCTTTCTTCTTCGCTGTAAAGCCACATACCTTGAAAGATGGCCAGACCTTCCCCTTTCTCATTTTTCTTTCATTTTCACTGCAAAATAATTACCATACTTTAATTAAATGTTTTAAATTAAAAGCCAAATAATATAGATGTGTTTGCACACATGCCTGTGCGAAGTAAACAAGTAGAAAGGGAAAATCTGTGGGAAGCGTTCAGAATTTCATTTCCCAATTCCACTTTACAGGGAAAATCGATATTAGCCACAAGGACTGTGCTCTTCTGAATGGCTTTTGGGGAGTATGCAAATACTCACATCCTACATGTTAGGGAGGAATATGTTCCACTCAGCAAAAATAAAATAATTCTACTCATAGTGTTCTCCAGCTTGTCTTTTTTCCATTTCAATAATGTAATAGGACAATATCACAATATTACAATTGCAGAATTCTGCCACAGTAAGTTGTTGTGATGATTAAGCTTAATTGTGTCACCCTGACTGGCTTGGGAGTGGCCGACGGGATTGGTTAGGAAAGCACACTTCTGGGTGTGTCTGCGTGGGTGATGGAGGTGTGGCCATAGGGTCCATGTCTGGTCCCACCACATCCTCCTTTCTGGGCCTGTCCCCTGCTCTGCTTCCCTGTCACCATGAGGTAAGCATCTTTCCTCCTCCTTGTCCTTCTGCCACGATGTTTGTGTTTGGAGCCAACCAAACCTGAACGGAATCCTCTGAAATGTGGAACTAACTAACTAATCCTCTGAAACTAACTCCTTTCTCTTTTAAGTTGTGGGTACCACATATTGTGTCCCAGTGATAGGAATTATGGCAGATAATATGGTTGTATTCTTTAAGCATAATCAGTTATAGCCATTGATTCATTTATTCACTCAAGCAGTATCTATTGACCAGCAAAATATGTGCAGGTTGTTATGGAAGATGTAAAGATACATAGTTTTGTTCTGTGGTTACTTATTATGATCCAGAAAGATAATAAAGTGGGGTCACATATAACAATGATATTCCATAACATAGAACATATAAATATAGATATAGTGCTCTTGTAAGTCAAAGGAAAGTAAGTTACCTTTCTGAAATGGATGATCAGGAAAGATTTGAGGAGATTTTGGATTTGATTTGGGCCTGAAAAGATTGGCTAGATTTCAAGTAATGTACAAGAAGAAAAAAAATACCTTTAGCCAAATCTTGCAGGAAAAAAAATAGGACATGTCTAAAGAAGGATCACTGTGGTGGATTGAGAACTGGTGGTTGACTTGTAACACCAGCTGATCTGAGTGAGTGTGGTGCTGGGTGTGGGAGGCCTAACTGAGGATTGTTGCCAGTAGTGTAAGAGGCAGAACTAGAGAAGAAGTGGAAGGCTGTTGGGAGCTGGTAGAAGCTGTTGGGAGCCTGCTGGAAACTGAGAGAATGTTAAGGAGCTGTTAGTTCTCTTGGAGGAGCTTGTCATGCTGGCTTTCCTGATGAACTTGGCTGTTTTCATTCTCCAATGAGCTTGGGACCTTGTTGTCACTGAGAATGGCTTTGGTTCACTTTGGGGGAACTCTGGTCCTCACTCTGAGCATTGCTCCCTGGCTCCAGAGGGGAAGATGGTGCACTGCTCAGTCTCCTGAAGAAGCTTGTTGCATTGGCTTTCCTGATGGGAACTCAGCCATCTTGATCATCAGAGGAGCTCGGGACCTCGTTGTTGCTGAGGATGGCTGTGGTACTTTTCAAGGGAGTTCTGGTTCTTACTGAGTGTTGCTTCCTGGATGCAATATAGATCCCTCAGCCTGCTAACGCAGAGCCTTCATCCTGCTGGCACAGACTTTCTAGATTCCACCACTGACCTTTGGGCCTTCACAGTGCAGATCTGTCAAACAGTCCTGCATGAGACATCGTCATGGGCTGTATGCCTCCAGCTGGACTCATGGGAGGCACTGTTATGGTCTCTAGGTCTTCAGATGAATTCACGCAGGGCATTTCTGTGGGATCCAGGCCCTCGGCTGGATTCTTTCATCTTTAGTGTGTGGACAGATTTCCTGCACTCTTTTGTATATCATTCTTTGGTTGACTATTATGAGTAATATTATAAAGTATGTCCTGTATTGTTCCCCTTGCAAGCCCCTGACTACAACAATTACCTTATTTCATCAAATCCAAATGTATCATGGTAAAATGTCTCAATTCCATAGATACTAAAAAACTGGTGAGAAATGTATAAGTTAAATCAGAAAAATACAATATTTAGTCAATTTGACTTGAGTGAAGGTAGAACTTGTAGATAAATCTAGGAGAGGGAGTAGGAGTCAGATCTGGATATTCTTAAATGCCAGGACAAATCTAAAATATACTGTTTTGAGTTTTTTCCAGTTCTTTTTCTCTTATCACAAGTTCTTAGAAATTAGAATAAGATCAGATAACCTAATCTTGAAACATAAAATTCTAGAGTCCTTATTCAGATATCTTAAAAGCTATTGGTCCCCTTAACAGACTCTTGCATTACAAACTGTTTTTTTCCATAATGAAACAAACATTTAAAAAATATTATTTGCCCATGTACGATGTTGTGTGCCCAGTGCTATGTTAATGCCAGGTGTCTGTGGGGAGCAAGAAGTCTCAGTCCCCAGGTGCACATGTCCTGCTTGATGGACTTTCCAGGGTCTTCTCCCACCTCCCACACATCATTTTTCTCATATTTGGCTGGCCTATGAGCCATTAAAATTGAACATCACTTTCTGCCACCTTGGTCTTGTCTCTAGCTTGTGGTTCTGATTTCCTGCTTGTCTGGCTTAACTGAAACGCCCATGTCCTTAATAAATACACAAGTTGATTTTGTCTACCGTGCTTTTTACTTCAAGCAGAATTCCTTATAAATGAACTTCAACTTGCTATAGTGTCTCCATAATTATTTCCTAAAATTAAAAAGAAAGCTTTTAAACTTCCATGATGATGACATGGATATTGAGGTGGACCTAGAAACATATTAAGTATCCATTGCAGAAAATGTCCTGTTATAACCCCACAGGAAGAAAACCTCCACTGGGGTCTTAGAATTAGGCATGGGTTATGATTTAGATCCTAAATCCCGCCAAAGTCCCAGGCACTCAGAGATGGGACTTTTGGAAGAAGATGGGGTCATGAGGGCACTATACTCATTAGTGATTTCATTCATTGATGAGTTCTTGTGCTGTTAGGAGGACGGATGTTGTTGGAGATGGGCCTCTGAGGGTGTGACCTGGAAGGATAGATTCTTGTCTCAAGTCTTCCCTTCACTCTCTGCTTCCTGGCTGCCAGAGGGTGAGCAGCTCTCCACTGCCATGACCTTCTACCATGCTGCTTTTCCTTGGAGTCAGCTAACCGTGGACCAAATCCTCTGAAACTGTGAGGCAAAGTAAAGCTATATAAGTTGTGGGTGTTAGGTATTTTGTCCAGCCAAGAGGAAAGTGACTAATACAGCATCACTCTCTGCATCAAACTGAGGAGTTTTAGTTGTCCTAAAGAACTGACCCCTCTTCATCTCCCTAATCCCATCCTGTTACTGACATGGAAAGTCCCTCTTTATCTCTGATAATGTTCCTTCTTTTGGAATCTACTTTGTCTGATGTTAGTATAACTATCCCCATGTGTAGTCAGCCTCTAAAGTGGTCCCCAACAATCTCTTCCTCCTAGTGTACATGCTCTTGCACCCTCTCTCACACTGTAGCCAAGTTGGTGTGGATGACCAATACAATATAGCAAAAGTGATGTTATTTTACTTCTGAGGTTAGGTTATTTTTAAAAAGGCTTCTGTCATTCCCATTCTCTCTCTCTCTCCCTCCCTTCCTCCCTCTCTCTCTCCCTCCCTCTCTCTCTCTCTCTCTCTCTCTCTCTCTCTCTCTCTCTCTCTCTCTCATCATCTTGAAGTCATGTCATGAGCATCCTTCAACCATATGGAGAACCCAGGTGACAAGAACATAAATCTTCCTTCTGGCCACTGTGTTAGTGAATCTGGATACAGAACCTCCAGACCTAGCCAAGCCTGACTCCTAGGTGGCAAAAGACTTTGAGTCAGAAACACCCAGCTAAGCTGCCCCAATTCCTCATTTACAGAAAGGATAAGATAATAAATGCATGTGTCATGCTAAATTTGGGGTAATCTTTTATATGGCAATGAATAATATAAGCATCTACATTTCTTTAGATAGGTATTTTCATAGCATTTTGAGAATCCCAAGACCACCTGTTATGGTTTGTGTCTAGATGTCCCCCCAAAGTCTCATGTGGTCATAGGGTTTTTTCCTTCAGATATGGCTGAATCTAGAATGTGTAATTGATTCATAGTGCAATGCTGGGATTAAGGGTGTGTGATTGCCAATGCTGGGTCCACTGATTTGATTGGCACCACCCTAATCCTGGTAGCCTGAATACAATAGGAAGAACAGAAAGAGACTTTCCTCTCCCTCTACCCTTCACCTTCCTCCTCCCCTTCTTGAGCTCTTCTTGCTTCTGCTGTCTTCCACTGTCATAAACTGGTGCCCCTCTGCCATGTTCTACCCTGGCTTGGACCAGCCTATTATGGACTGAAACCTCTACAGACTATGAGCTAAATAAACCTGTCCCCTTTTAACTTTGGGTGTCAGGTATTTTGTCTCAGGAGCAAGACAAACAACTAAGACACTACCCAAGTTTGGTGGCTGACTAACAGCACGCACAAGACTCAAAAGAAAGTTATATTCACAGATAATGTTTATTATGGCAAAGGGCACTGAAAAATTCAGCAGAAAAGACACTTTATTGGGCCAAGTCCAGGGAGGTCAATGCATATTTAGTCTTTTTTTTTTTTTTTAATGTAATGGTGTTATGGTTGATATATTGTGTCAACTTGGGGAGTCTAGAGGTTTGGCTAAGTGACTCAGCAGTTGAGTCATCTTGGGGTGAAAAGAACATGGCCTTACCCTTCTGGAATGTTGTTCATTGTGTCAATTTGAGAAGTTTAGAAAGTTAACTATGGGATTCAGCAGGGAGCCAGGGTGCTTACTTTGTATTCATCCTGAGCCTGAGCAAGAGCAGGGCATGGAGATTATGTGAGTGCTACACACCACCTGGGTAGGGGTAGCCTGCTTACAATATATGGGAGGGAAAGAGGCTTGCTCTTTTCTGCTACTCCTCCCTTTTGCTCTTGCTGCTTTGCTGTTCCACCCCCATGAACTGTTGCCCTCTGCCATGTGCTACTCTGCCTTGGAGCCAGCCAAGTACGGACTGAAACCTCTACAAACTGTAAGCTAAATAAACCTTTTGTTCCTTCATTTTGGGCATTGGATATTTTGTCTTAGTAATGAGAGAAAAGTAACCAAGCCAAATGGTCAATGTAAATGTTGTGTTTTACTGTACTAGACTTTGTTGTATTTCATTAAATAATATTATTTATTCTGTTTCCTTGCTAGCTGGGTTACAAGGAATTATTAGTACCTCTACAGAATTGCTAGTAAGTTTGTTAGAGGAGGTCCAGGGCAACCTTTACCTTTGGGATAATTAATTCCACTGCTAAGTTAATAACTTCCTTCAGACTATTTTAGGGATTGATAACCTTTTTGGGGGCCAGGGAATCATATAATAAATAGGCTTTGTAAATCACACCAGTCTCTGTTGCATATATTTCTTTGTGTTCACAATCTTTTGAACATATGCAAATTATTCTTGATTTGTAAGCTGTTTGAAGACAGTGTGTGGGCTGATGTGGCCTGTGAGCTGTGGTTTGCCAACACCTAATCAACCTAGAATACTTTGCATCAGCGAGTTTTCCATTTTGGCTGAAAGGACCACTAACTATTCCCAGCCCTATATGAGCTCCAACATTTTCCTGCCCACTGAATCCCACATTCTTTCCCCAGCCTGTCATGGTTAATTCTCCTGCTTATGCAAATTAGCACACAGGAAAGCCTTGAAAGGACCTCTCTGCAGACTCCAGGGCTCCAGGGCTCTCTCTGAAGCTTCCTCCCCTCTGTTATTCAGTGCTACAAATCCAAGCCGCCTTACCTTCTTTAAACTCTGGTCTTCCTATTCTCAGCAAGATTTCAGGCTCTGCTTGGCTTCCTCCTTTCTCTGTTATCTGTTTGCATGTACTCACTCGCATGCACTGGTTTCTATCTATACTGAGCATAAAATTATAACTGAAACTCTTCGGTTCTACTTAATGTCTTCATTGTTAAATATAGCACCATATCAACAGACTTGCACATCCTCCTCTATGCCAGCACTATGGCTGTGTCTCCACGGCTACAGACTTACAAGACTCCTAGTTGATCTTGGTCCAAATCTAATCTTCAATAGAACTTTCCTCTTCAGCATCCCTGGAAGTGAACATGTGCTTTTGAGGGAGACTTTATATGTTTTAAGATAATCTACTTCATTGTTGCACAGTAATAAACATCATAAAATGCACTTATAGTGAGCTAAAATTTCTCAACACACTGACTTTTTAGTTTTTACTGAGTCTGGGTACAATCTAAATCTAGGAGGGCTGTTCTTATGGACTCCTGTTTCAAGTCCTCTTAACCCTTGTTATATGTAATCGAACCTGTCCACAAACATGTATTAAATGCATGCTGTGTGACAGCCTCCATGCCGGCGATGGGGTTGAAGAGATGGCAAAAAGAGACAATGTGTAGTCTCAGGCACCTTCCAGTTTGGTGTGGGAATTAGAGAAGAATCAAAAAGCATAGCAAAAGTGCTGTGAAAGTACAATGTGACCTGTGCTGCAAAGAAGCACAATGCAAAGGCTTGCAGGGGATTTCGCTTTAGTGGAAGACGGTATTTTGCATTGCTTAATCTCAGATTTTGTGGGGCCATGAGCTTATACATGGTGAGGGGCTCTCTTTAAGAAGGAAATGGAAATGATAGTTGCAAAAAAGGTATGGGGCTTGCAAGAGGTACTGAAATGGACATTTCATTAGCTTCAGGTAAACAAGGTATGTGACCATGTGTTGGTAATGCTATCCAGAGATTATCTGTGTTGTGTAGAACTCAGGACTTGATAGACCTCTAAGTTTTCTTTGAATTTAAAAATTGTGTGTTCAGCATCTTGGCTTACATGTGAGATTTGAATAGGTCAATGCTAGAGCCTTGGGAATCTTCACCCCTGAGCCAGCTTGTATGAATTGCCCAGTAGCCACTTGATGCTTGGGGTTGGTTTTATATGTGTGTGGAATGGGATGGGCGTTTCTTCTAGGCTGGGAATTAAATGAATGACCAAGAAGAATCCCCAGCCTCCACCCCTTGTCAATAGTTTCATTCTAGCCCTTAGAACCACTGAGTCAGAGCTAAGTGGTCTGGTGTGTCAAAGCCTGGGTTTGATTCTGTGCTAACCAAGGCATGTACATGGAGAACAGCTCAGTGGTGACCCAAACACTGCAGCTTCCCCCGGCCTTGGCTCCTCCCCTCACACTCCATTGCTCTACTCAGAGGAGGCCCCGGGAAAGAAGACAGATGCTTTGCCACATAGCTGCTGTGCCCACTTCACATGTGTGAAATGGTGTCTGAGCTGTCTGAACCATTGTCAAGAGGGAGGGAGGCCGTACTATAGATCAAGACTTCCATCCTACAAGTCCAAGAGCCACCTGAGTACAGTCACTATTCCAGTAACTAAGAGCAGTTTCTGAGCATGGATGTTTCCCCAATCTGCCTTTCCATTCTAGTGCTCATGCTTTAAGTATATATGCTTTAACTTTTTGGAAAATTTGTTTATTCTTGCCTAGAGGTTGCCGAACTCCAAGTGATCATGCAAATGGAACCAATGAAAAACGTGCCAGGCTCCTATCACTGGGATCCACTACATTGACCTCATAAAGGGAATTCATGATGGCTAAACTGCAATATGACTTCTAGACAAGGCCCAGTAGATTAGCTCTCTGAAGGAGACCCCTGACTATGGTTTCCCCTACACTGACACTTCTCATCTTGAAGCAGCTAGATGGAAACTACACCCCTTCTCCCCTAACTGCAGTTAGGGATAGTTGTCCAGAGGGGGGAATATTGTAGACAGCTAAGTTAGGTAAATATATAGTAGGCAGTTAGACAGGGCTGGGCCTTCGAGGGAGTCACAGTAGAAGATGAGAATGCATGCATCAAAATTGAGGCTGGAGACTCATCTGAATATTAGTGTTACAATGGCTAGACTTATGTGCTTCCCTAAGGGGTAAACAGAAGCCTGAGATTATGGGTATCACCCTTTTGAGATTTCCCATTATCTCATTAGGGATGGGTCATTGCCTCCCACCCACTAAAGTGAAGACTAAAACCACTAAGACTAAGACTAAATCTACTAAGAGTAAGACTAAGCATAAAACCAAGACTATAGATTATGGACCAAGGTTAGTGATGTCAGATATATGCCCTTGCTACCACTGGCTCAATATTACCTAAGTGACTATACTTACAATCTTATTGGTTAATCATAATTTTGACCCATGTTGTACCCACCTCATGATTTTGCTCTATAAAACTTCTTTCAAGAAGTGGGCTCATTGGCAACCCATTCAGGACACCTTCTGTCTCTCAGGAGCTATTCCGATTCCCCATTCCTTTTTCCCAATGAATTTTCCTACTTGTAATGCTTGATATATTGTGTCAATTTGAGAAGTATATCCTAGGGAGTAGAGGACATGCGCTAGGGTGGTTGATTACCCTTTAGGATGCTGTAATAGTTGATTCATTGTGTCAGTTTGAGAAGTTTAGAAGTTTAAGTGACTCAGCAGGGAGCCAGGGTCCTCACTTTGTAAACATCCTCAGCCCATGCAAGAAGAGGGCATGGAGATGGTGTGAGTACTACACTCACCTTAGGATGGGTAGTTTGCATACAAGATAAGGGAGGAAAAGAGGCCTGCTCTCCCCTTTTTTGCTCTTGCGGCTTTGCTGTCCTCCACCACCATGAATTGTTGCCCTGTACCATGCCACCCTGATTTGGAACCAGCTGATTATGGACTGAAACTGCTACAAACTGTGAGCTAAACAAACCTTTCTTCCCTTAATTTTGGGTGTCAGGTATTTTATTTCAGCAATGGGAGAAAAGTAACCAAGACACTACTCAAAAAAAAGGCTTTCCATCCTATAAACAAAAACAAAAACCAGAACTCCCAAAGCCAATCATGCTCTGACTCACTATCATAAAACAGGAGAAATACTACCACACAACCACATATTAGCAGCTACACTGGGGATGGGCACTTTTGCACCCCCAGGGTAGCTGTCTGGACACATAACCAAGTTCTTAGCAAACTCTGATGACAGCTCAGGGGCAGGTGAGTTACATGGCTGAGGTTCTTGCTCATCTGATCACCAGAGAAGCAAAATCAGGTGAAATGAAGCAGTCCATCTATGGACACCTGGCCATGCTCATCTGCTGTCAATTTTCCAGTCTGTCAAGTCTTGGAATCTGGCTCTCCGGCATCTCTGCCAGGCCCCTTTCCTTGCTTACAGGCTCTTGGGCTTGGAACTAACATGTGCCCAATGTAAGCTCATTGCCCTGGGTTTAGCCATGCCAAGTTTGGAGTGTTTGGCTTTTTCGGAGTCAGTCTACATGGGACACCTTTGGGCCCAGGGCTAACAGATTCTATCTGAGTCCACTGCTAGGTACAGCATGCAAGATGGTAGAAGATAATTGACTTCTGGAGGATCCAACTTTAGTTTTTCTACTTAAAACACCTAGGAATAATTAAACAACATATTTTTGTTATTAATGTATTCTTAGAAACTGCCACCTCTTGTAAGGAGACAGGAAAATCTTAAGACTAGCAAGGAAATAAAACAGCAAAATCCCCTCAGGGGTATGGGAAGACTTGGAACTAACCTACTATGTGTCCCCTAGCCCACCTAGATTTCTGCGGTATCTTTGTTCTGTACCCCATGAGGCCCACATGAGCTCTGTCTCAGGCAAGGGCTCTGGCTTCAATAGAAAGTGAGTTTGCTCATGAATTCAGCATCAGTTGCTGAGGACTTTCCTAAACATTGATAGTGTTCATAAATGTTATCCATTTGTGGGTACAAACTACTTTATAGATGTGTGTGTATGTATAAATATGGCTAACAATTGGAGAAGGGAGAATATACTGCATACCCATTAGGCAAAGATTGCTTGTCTTTTACTTATCCTTTACTTTCTCTAGAACTTTGATGTCTTCATTAAATTATTTAAATCAAAAATTCACATATTCATTCATCTTTTACAGTGGTTTTTGTCCAAAAACACTCTAATGATTTACTTTTATGCTTTAAAAAATATTTTTGTAGCTGCGTGTGTTGGTGCATACTTGTAATCCCAGTAACTTAGGGAAGCTGAGGCAGGAGGATTGTAAATTTAAGCCCAGCCTGGGCAATTAAGCAACTTACTAAGACCCTGTCTCAAAATAAAAAGGCTGGGAATATAACTCAGTGTGAAGACCTTGGGTTTAATCCCCAGTACTGGAAAAAAAATTGTGTATAAACACTCCTAGCTTATGCTTTTCTTGGTTTCAGCAGGTAATTGGCCTGATGTTTTCAGGAAAGGCTTAGCAGTGATTCCTGGTGGTCTTCTTGGCTTTGACCTGATAGCTCAGAATTCATTTTCCCATAACGAAATGTTTTTCTCCTAAATGTTTTATTATTCCCATGCAGATCTAAGCTCATTTCTGCTTGCAGAGTCAGCAGTCTCCTTCCTATCAATGTGGACGGCTCAGTACCCAGGACTTGAACATGGGCAGTAACTACCCTAGGTTGGAACTGAAGTGGGGTCCTGCGCTGCGGCGGGTGGGGCAGCCTGCAGGATGCGTGTGCTGCGTCCACTGCAGGCGTACAATGGCATCAGGACGGCACAGCACCAAGGAGGGCCGCCTAATGGAGAACCCCAGCCTGGGTGGCTTCAACAACGGAAATTTATTTTCATACAGTCCTGGAGGTTAAAGTCTAGCACCAAGCTGTCTGCACTGCTGTTCCTCTGAGGTCTCTCCCCGGCTTAGCGATGGCGTCTTCCCCCGGTCTCCCCTGTGTGTATCTGAGTCCCAAGCACATCTTACAGTGGCCCTGGTCACGATGGACGAAGGTCCACCCTAAAGACTCCTTGGTTAAATCCCCTCTTTAAACAGCCTGTCTCCCAGAACAGCCACAGTCTGAGGCACTGGAGGTTAGGACTTCAGTATACAAGTTTGGCCGGGGCGAGGAGACTCAATTCAGCTCGTGAAGGCTGATATTGTCAACCCCTCATCAGCCACACTGGGGCTCTAAAACACGGCCCAGGGCTGCGCAGCCTGACGAAAACAACAGGGTGGGGAGAAACAGGACCCTCTCTTTACAGACTTTGCAGCCGATGTAAGCAAACTGCCTGTCTGATTCCCCAAACTGCAGTGCGCCAGGATGCTGAGCAACCACCAAGCAGGAAGAAGCCTCTCTGTTCCTGCAGATGCGCAACCCAAGCAGGAAATGACTCTAGCACCACCTCCGCGGCTGAGGAGCCTTCGCAAAACTGTGCCCTCCGCTGTGAGGACAGAGCGCCATAACAGCACTTCTGGATTGTCAGCAGGAGGTGACATTATTTTCAACACTTAGAAGGCTGTGGAAACGTCTTGTTAAATATGGGTAAAATCGGGCATTTAAAGGCGACATACTTCTGTGATTAGAATAACTCATGTGAAACAAAACTTCCCCAATTCTCCTGGATGGGTGCTTATTTCTGTATATGACAGACAAGGTCCCGCCCGGAAGTCACGAGGACTTTGTTGCAGTCCCTCGCGGAGGGCCAGCTCCTTCTTGTAGCAGTGGTCCCCAGGTCGGACTCAGCTGCCAGAGAGGTGCAAGCAGTCCCGGAGACTGACCGGCAGCTTTCAGGCCACTTTGAGTTTAAGCCACACCCGCTGCGCTGTGGGCTGAGTGATTATTTCAGTAGCTTCTCTCATGCTTTACAAGGAGTGCAACCGTATGGCCCTGGATTTTGTGTGCATGTGGTAAAAACAGTAATATATTTTATGGAAATGTTTTAAATGCGCCGTTTTAAATGTTTTTATGATCCTGCTTTGGTATTTCTTCACATCGTGGTCCACCTGGAGTCTCGAGCCCACAGGCAGCTGCCCACAGGGTCTGCACCCCAGCCAGCGTGCTGTGTGCTCAGTCTTGCCTTCCCTGAGTCCTCTCCCTGGGCCGCCTTCTGTCTCAGACAGCTATCTGTGAAGATGCCTTATTCCTCCTATAGGGTCTTATGATGGATTCCCACAGCCACCTTCCACAGTCCACGTTAGCTGTTGTGTCAAATCCAGGCCATTCTGTTGCTACCCTTGACCTAGCATGACAAAGCCTTACTCCACCTGCCCTTCTTCTCTGCTTCCTAAGCCCTTTGGCTCCTCGGTGCTTGTTGCAGCTCCTTCAGAGGCGGCCTCAGAAGTCTTCCTCGGGCTCAAGGGGAGGTGCTCCAAATGCCTTACCAGGAGGGCTGCGCTGAAAAGCACCTGGGCGGTGGCGAGGCTGGTGTTGTCTGTGTAGAGTATACTGTGGCTCCCTGATGTACATTGGGAGTTCTGGACACCACCCGTCCCAGCTCAGGGGCCGTGCGGAAAGCTGTTCTGCTAGGGACAGTGGAGCCGGCCAAACCCCTTCCCCTCCTGCTCAAGACAAGCCAGCAGCATGTATTGCCCAGCTGCCACCTCTCTGTCCCCCCCAGGGCCGGCACAAGACGTTGGCTGAACCTGAAATAGCACTAAGTCCTGGGCATGAGTCATGCATGGTCTATTGAGAAGTTTCTCGCAGGCTCACTAACAGGAATCCAGTTCACAGCTCTCAGAATTGGGCTCACACAGGCTGACTTTGTGGCTATAATCACTAGCCTCCAGATTATTGTTTTGTCAAATATTCGCAAACCTTCCCACCCCTTTATACGCACGCGCATGCGCACTCACTTCTTAAACACATGATAAGGTGTCTGTGGCTCAGCAGGTTTTTTAAGTGCTGTCCTCTCCCGATCTTACCTCCTTTTCCACTTCCAAACAGCAGAGCACACAGAGTTTAAACTCGCCCTCAGAGTCTGTTTCACCTGTTCTATCTTCCAACATGATGATGTTTTGCCCACAACAGATTATAACACACACTTGGCTCTGGGCGTGTGGCTCAGAGGTAGAGCGCTAGTCTAGCTTGCCAGAGGCCTGGGTTCAATGCCCAGGATTGGGAGAGGGGGGTATTAGGTTAATTAAATCTTATTCCCATAGTATGTGGGAAATAGCTTTTCCCCTCAGTACAGGTACTCTAAAATATGCATTGATCTTTGTGCGAGCAAGCTGAAGTAATTTCTAATCTAAGGGAAACTTGATTCTTAGAAAAGAACTGGTTTTTCTGTCTTAAAGGTAGGTCAATGGACGTGCCTGGCCTTGCTTGACCCACAGTAGGAAGCGGGTGGCTGGCCATACCCCTACTCCAAATGGTCACCATCTCAAAAGTCTCTGCCAGTTCCAACCCAAATCTTTTTTTTTTTTTGGTTTTTCTCCGGTACCAGGAACCGAACTCACGACCTTGCGCTTGCCAGGCAGGCGCTTTGCCGCTGAGCTAAATCCCCAGCCCCCCAACCCAAATCTTAATGTCTAGCCATCTTGGCATCTGGGACATGAGTGGTGGGAAAAATCTAGTTTTGAAAACAACAAAGCCCCCACTAAAAAGCTTATAGTGAAATGATGACCATAACAAGTGTTGTAGATGTAAAAAAACTGGATTGCTCATCAATCAGTGGTGAGAATGTGAAATGGCCCCCTAGTTTTGGAAAGTACTTGACAGTTTCTAAAACATTAAACCTGAACTTGGTATATGACCCAGTATTTCTACTCCTAGACATCCTCACGGAGAAATAAAAACATATGTTCCTACAAACACAGGCAAAGGAATCTTCACTGCAGGTTTATTCATAACAGCTTCCAAAAGGAAACAGTCCACATGTCTGTCAATTGGTGAACAAAGAAAATGTGATGTATCCATTCACTGAAATAGTCCACAGCAATTGTAAAGAAGTATTGATACATGCTATAGTTTCGGAAAACCTCAACAACATCATGCTCCTGGAAAGAAGTCAGATATATAGAAGAGCTGCATATTGTATGATTCTGTTTGTCTGAAATCTCCACGAAAGGCAAATCTATGAGAGAAAACACCATAAGGACTGTTTGGGGACTGAGGTAGGAACAGAAAATGACAGTAAATGGACACAAGGGATCTTTTTTAAAGTGATTGAAAATTAGCAAATTTTCTGCAAGGATAAATTTACTAAAAATCCCTAAAATGGGTGAATTTATTGGTAAACTATTCACACATCCACAGAGGTTTTTGAAAACAACTCTACGGATAAAGGCTCTGGTTAATTCTCTTTGGCAGCAGGTGTCTTTGTCTGATTGCAAATCTTGAAGGAGCTGCATGTCACCTGGCCACCTCCTTGTTAGAGGCTATTCTTAGGGGTAGGCGAGGAAACTGGCAAACTATGTTGACAGGAGACAGAGCCAAACCCAAAGATGTCTTTCCAGACTTTTCTTTAGCCGTAGGCACGTGGTCATGTGTCTGCAGGGAAGCCACGGGTGTTGCATGGAGTTGTGCCCTGGGCCTCTGCACCTGCTTGCCTGCAGTTGGTTGTGAAGGACAGGTGTCTCTGAGAGGGGTGCACGTTCTGGTCCTCATACACACTCTGGGCACTGCCTGGTGTGTCAGGAGCTGTACCATCCTTGGCTTTGAGTACAAAGACTCGTTCAACTGGCTCCCGTCTCACCTTAAAGGATGAGATCATTTCTTTCCAAAAGAAACACTTCTCAGCCCACCTCCCCCCATAAAAGGATGGAGAACCCCCAGGGAATCTTCTGATATTTAACTTGATCTTTTGATTTTGCCTTTGAAATCTACTCTAAATCTAGATCCTGAACATCCAAGTCTAAGATGGCAAGGAGCCCGTGATAGTCTCCCAGCTCCAATGAGAAAGCAAGACTCTATCTTTTGCCTGGCAAACTGGCAAACTGGCATGATTAGAATGTGCACAGTGTTCTAATTTGGCATGCTTAGAAAATAACGGGCCTGCGAGTCTGCTCTGGGGGGCTTGATTTGCTTCCAGCAGGACCTCTAGAGGCTGTGCCGCCCTGGTGGTCTCACGCTTCTGCCACGTGCCCCTGCGCCTGTTCAGTGGACTCTTCTTCAGCGTATCTGATTGTTTAAAATGATGCATTTACTCCTTTTTAACTTCAGTTTTTTGTATTGTGTGCAGCATGTGTAACATGAGATCTACCCTCATGACAATACTTAAGAGCACGATGCAGTATTGCTAACTATCAGGCACTAAGCTATACACTACGTCTCTAGAACTTGTTCTTGTATAACTGAAACTTCGACTATTAAACAGTAGCTCCCTATTTCTTTCCCCAGCCCTCGGCAACCGCTGTTCTGCTGCCTGTTTCTGAGTTCGACTATTTTGGCTGCTCCATGTAAGTGGAATCATGCAGTATCTGTCCTCCTGTCACTGGCTTATTTCACTTAGCATAATGCCTTTTGGGTCTATCCATCCTGTTCCAAATGGTTAAGATTTCCCTCTTCTTAATGCTGAGCAATATTTCACTGCAGGTACTTCCTGGGGTTCCTTTATCCACTCATCCACAGGTGGACATTTATGTCATCTTTGTACCTCGACTACTGAGTAATGCTGGGCTCAACATGGGAGTCCAGGGCTGGTGATGTAGCTCAGTGGCATAAGCGCCTGCCTGGCAAGCGCTAGGTAGTGAGTTCGATCCCCGGTACAGCAAAAAAAAAAAAAAAAAAAAAAAAAAAAGGCAGAAACATGGGAGTCTTGATACTGATTTCACTCCTTTTGACTCCATATGCAGAAGCAAGATTGATGGGTCATGGGAATTCTATTTTTAATTTTTTTAAAAACCTGTATGTTATTTACCACAGCAGTCATACCATCACAGCTTCTCATTAACAGTGTGCAAGGGTTCCAATTTCCCCATAGTCTTGGTAACACTTATGAGTTAATTACTTTATTAGTGCATGTTTGTTGTGCACAGTGGTTCCTTTGCCTGTGTGGAGCTGGTACATGCATGTAACACATCTTCATTTCTGGGTCCATCCCCTGCCCCTCCCCTCCTCCACTCTCCTTCCGTTTCTTGATCTCCTTCCCATTTGAGAAAGGCGTCTCCCCACTTCCTGATATCTATCTTTCATTTTGCTATTTATTTATGATTTGGGTGTCTCATAGAGGAGAAATCATGTGATATTTAAGCTTGTGCATCTAATTTATTTCTCTTAACATTACGGTCTCAAGGAGCAACCGTTTTCCTACAAATGACCCAAGTTTATCCTTCTCTGTGGTAGAGTGGTACTCTATTGTGTATATTTTCTTTATTATTCATGTGTTGATGGACATACAGGCCACTTCCAAAATTTAGCTACTGTGGATTGTAGTGCTATAAACATGGATACACATCTATCACTGTAATACGATGCCTTTAACTTTTTCAGGAAGATGCCTAGTGGGGAATAG